TGTCCGCCAGTGCCGGACCACTGCGCTGTCAGCTGTGCTTGGGGCTGCTGCCAACGAGGTCGCAGCCATGCGTGCTTGGAAACTGTGGTTCTTGCTGCCCAGGATGTTGTTGACCTGTTGACGGCAACTCTTGAATCGAACCCTGAGGCCACCTTGCTGTCTGTTGATGGGGTTGGTGCATTTGACACCATCAGCCGCCAGTCCATGTTGGGGGTTCTGTTACAGACACCAGGCGCATCCCGCAGGCGCTGCCCCTTCTACAGCACCCTGCTTGCTGACGCAGCGGAGCCTCCGCCCCTCGTTTCTGCCGGTGGGCGCGCCCCTTGTGCGCATCGTGCCCGAGGCTGTCCGCTTGGTTCACCAACAGCCTTCCTTCAAGCCCTCCTGTGCCCGGAAGCGTCCCTAATGGGGGGGTTTTGGGACAAGACTTGCTGCACCCAGCTGGTGGAGAGCGGTCAGAAAACGGCCATCGAATGAATGTCCTGGAATGGCGGTGCCCAGCTGGCTGTCGACACCACTTTGGTCTCGCCCCTGCCGCCGTGCGGGGCACCGTTGCGGAAGGAGCGTGTCTATCCTGCGCTGCTGCGGTCCCATCGTTGCCGGCGGTTGGTCGTCCTCGCGCTCGAGGTCGGCGGCCGCTGGAGCGAGGAGGTCGCATGCTTGCTCCCGGGAGGCTGCGCCTGGCCTACGCCCGGGGAGGCTGTGCGTTCGCGTACGTCCGGGAGTTTTTCTTCTCCACGCGCGCCTTTTGGACCGCACGAAGCCATGGGTATCTAAAACAAGCAGTGCCGGGAAGAGGAAACAACAGGCGGGAAACACGCCGCGACTACTGCCGCCAGGAGGCGGCTGGGAAGAAGCACGTCCCCAAGGTGGACACCACCGCGCTGAGGGGCGATGTGGACAAGGCGGCGACGGAGGTCGACGCCTCGGAACCAAGGTGCCCAATGTCACCACAAGGGCACCAAAGCGGCATTTTTTCTCCGCACGCCTTTTGACATCGCCTGGTTCTTGCCAGCTCCTCACGTGCACCAAGCTGGCCATGTATATCCCCTCGGCCGAAGAGGCCGTCACCGAGGCAAACGGCTGCCGGTGAGTGGCGGGCAAGTGGAGTCGGCAAGCAGCGCGCTCCAGTCTTGGCAGGGCCTAATGAAATTGGACTGGCCAGCAGCGACCTGCCCTTCCAGCAAGGACTCGGCAAAGGAAAGCTGGGCTGCGAAGGAGAGAAAGGCAGACCACCGAGCGACCAGAGCTGCAACAACGGCCGCTGCCCATCCCAGCCAGCAGCGCCTCAGCGCACTCCCCCGCCCCAAGCGAATGCATGCAACGGGCACAGGACCAGCAACAGTTGCCAGCGCTGGTCATTTTTTTTTGTCAACATGTTTTTTTTGCGCGATCATGCCATGGAGTGCCGCGAGTACAACGCTTTTAAAAAAGGTCCCGGAGCTCCCCGGCCTGGTTAGGCGCTCGTGGTTCTCGCCTAGGAGACTGGCGGAAGGTGGGGCTTCGAGGTGCGCAGCATGATCTGTCACTTGGCGCCTTCGGTCGCTCCGCGCGCCTGGTGGTGGGCGCTGCTCAGCATCGCTCTGCACTTTCCCGGCCCTTGCGCGACTAGCCTCCTGGCGCTGGGCCGGTTGTGCGGTTTGACATGCAGGGGGAAAGGCGCAGAAAAAAGAGGAAAAGACACAAGCATGCGCAAGCCGTGATGTTGAACTTGGGTGCTGACGTGGCCATTGTACTTGCAAGCTTCGATAGCCCACGCAATGCGCTGAGAGCTGTTCGTGGCCAGAAGAGCCATGCAGCGGCGCGAATTCAAGCAGTTCAAAAAGACCTCAGATACGGCAATTCCCGCAGAGAATGATGCTAGGTCCGCGGTGTGAGATACTCCAGCCATCCAGATGATTTCGTTTGTTTACACGTGGCGGGATGAACTGCGTCTCAAGGACGTCAAGGCAGAAAAGGTCACACTTGTACATGTAGCCACTTCTCATACGTATGGTCTCATGATTTCGATCCCAAATCCACTTGAAATACAATGTTAATTGATAATTTGCTCCTGTCCAAGCAGCGTCGCACAATTAGAACTACCCGACAGGCCCGCATACAAGAGCCTAAGCGTTGAGCCCTGAGCCAACAAACCTGCTCGCATGGAAACGGAACGCTGAACACTGCGTTGTTCAAAAAAGACATGAAAAGACGTCTTTTGCCATTGAGCGAGGGTGTAGAAAACACACAAATTCTTCCTCGACTGGTGGCAAACATAGGTTTTGATTTCCGCGTGGCAAACGGATGCGGCGGCGGCGGCGGCCGGTATGGTGCTGATGGTGGGGGCGCGACCCAGTCGTCGCAGGCGGGCGACTCTGGCAAGTTCGGCTTCGGCTTTGCTAGGGGCTCCGGTGCCTCTGGCACTTGGAACGCCGGCGGCGGACGTGGTGCTGGCGGCGTGGGAGTGGCACCTGTGGCAACGGCGGGCCTGGCAAAGAGGTGTGCGTCACAGGCGTATGCGCTTTGTATTCTGGCGGTGGCGCGGTGGCTCGCACGACCCGGCCTGCAGCTGTGGTGGGGAGGGCGAGGTGGCGGGGGTGCCGGCATCGTGATCCTAAAGAAGTAGCAGAGGGGACCCGCCACATCCACCTTCCTTGAGACTTCAACCTGGGTATCCACTTTTAGTGGCTGTGCCAAGGTCCTTGTGGTGGCTGGTGGCGGAGGTGGTGGCCGCTCCGGGGGCTGGCGCAGGGGGTGGCGTGGTGGAAGTGGACTGCGTGCAAGTCACGGAAGGCGCCAGCTACGAGGTCGTGGTGGGCGAGGGCGGGGCAGGAGGCGGCGGCGGTGGCGCCAAAGGCACCAACGGCCAGGACTCCAAGTTCGACAAGCTGATGGCCAAAGGGGGCGGCGGAGGCGGCAGCGACGGCGGTGACGTTGGCAGTGACGGTGGCAGTGGCGGTGGCGGCAGGCCGAGCCAAACTCTGTTCGCCCTAGCTGTTCAGGCTTTGCCTTTTTCAATGGAGACAACATGCCAGACCCAATTGCAACTCAGTGCGCTTTCCAACGCGCACTGTACCTGCCACAGACTACCAGCAGTACCGATTCAAAACCACGATGCAGGCAATGCAGAGCCCTTGAGCCACGGAGCCAAGGAGCCACGGAGTGACGGAGTCAGGGAGTGAGAGGAAGTGTGAAGTGTGAGGGAATGTGAGGGAGTGTGAGTGAGCGGGAGTGAGCGGGAGTGAGCGGGAGTGAGGGGCATTGGGGGGGAGAGGGGGAGTGAGGGAGAGTGAAGGAGAGTGAGGGAGAGTGAGGGAGAGTGAGGGGCATTGAGGGGAAGTGAGGGGAAGTGAGGGAGAGTGAGGGAGAGTGAGGGAGAGTGAGGGAGAGTGAGGGAGAGAGGGAGAGGAGTGAGTGAGGGAGTGAGGGAGTGAGGGAGTGAGTGAGTGAGTGAGGGAGTGAGGGAGTGAGGTGAGTGAGTGAGTGAGGAGTGAGGTGAGTGAGTGAGTGAGTGAGTGAGTGAGTGAGAGTGAGTGAGTGAGTGAGTGAGTGAGTGAGTGAGTGAGTGAGTGAGTGAGTGAGTGAGTGAGTGAGTGAGTGAGTGAGTGAGTGAGTGAGTGAGTGAGTGAGTGAGTGAGTGAGTGAGTGAGTGAGTGAGTGAGTGAGTGAGTGAGTGAGTGAGTGAGTGAGTGAGTGAGTGAGTGAGTGAGTGAGTGTGAGTGAGTGAGTGAGTGAGTGAGTGAGTGAGTGAGTGAGTGAGTGAGTGAGTGAGTGAGTGAGTGAGTGAGTGAGTGAGTGAGTGAGGGAGGGAGGGAGGGAGGTGAGTGAGTGAGTGAGTGAGTGAGTGAGTGAGTGAGTGAGTGAGTGAGTGAGTGAGTGAGTGAGTGAGTGAGTGAGTGAGTGAGTGAGTGAGTGAGTGCGTTTTTGTTTGTTTGCTTGATTTATTGATTGTTTGTTTGTTTGTTTGTTTGGTTGTAGGCCGGCCAACTTGGGTGTGGGAAGGTAGGCGGGTATCACGGACTCTTCGTCAACACAGTGTTGAGATGAATGTGTTGGCTTTCCGCCACGATGGGAAAGGCCGTTTGCGGGTGTCGGTCGAATTCGGCCAGGTACGGCAAAAACGGCGGGGGTGCGCCCAGGGTTCGCAGGAGGGCGACTCTGGCAAGTTTGGTTCGGTTTTGCTGGGGGCTCTGGCACCTCTGGCACTTGGAACGCCGGTGGCGGAGGAGGTGAGGGTGGCCAAGGTGGTGGTGGCGCTGCAGGTGGGGAGTTTGTCCGGAGAACACGGAGCTGTTGAGTGGTCATAATCACTGGCTCGCCACTTGCTTGCTTTTTCGGCTGCCAGGCGCTCCATGAGGCAACAACCCCGGGAAGAACGGCGCTCCTGGCAAAGGGGCCGGCGGTGGCGGAGGCTCCACGGACAGTGGCGGGGCCGGTGGAGCTGGCAGCGGAGGCGTTGTCATTGCCCCGGGCGCCAACGCGGACGGACTGCCCTTCTGCGCGGGCTTCAAGGTGTCTGCTTTCGGTTGCGATGAGGTCACCGACCTGGAGAAGTGCCCCACGAGATACACCGTGTACACCGTCTCAGCTGGGCGCCACCTGCAGTGTGGCGTCTCGGGTCAGAACTGCCTGGCGATTGGCCCCTTCTGTGGAGAATGAGCAGGAGTCTCACGGAGTGCGTGCCCACAGCGTCCTTTCGCAGCGAAAAGGGGTAAGTTCCAACTTTTGGCTGCAAGAGACTAACCTTAGGAATGCTGAGGCCTTAAGTACACGCCGAGGTCCATTGTTTCGGCGAGTGCGGAGGACGGCAATTGGCCCAAGCTAACACCCACATTTGTGATGAGGATGCAGGTAGTCACAGATGCTTCATGCCAATGCATCATGGTGTAATTCTTTTCGACCAAAGTTTTTACATCATGCTGAGTCACCACAAGGCAGAGCTTTATTCTTGGGATCCTAGTGCCCTTGGGCAAGAAACATGCGACACACAGCGCGGACATTCAACACCACAGCGCAAAGCAACTTATAAGTTTCGCCACGGGTGGAACATGGACTCTACGCCTCAGTCACCGGACGCTGCGGAAAGCGCTTCCGGGGAGACAAGGTTACCACTGTGGCACGCAATGCACGTTGTGCAACATCCGTGCGAGGCCATTGCTGAATCTCCCACCACCGCCTCCACCGCCTGCCGCAGTTCAAGTGGCAGATGTGTCACACAGTGGGGAAGGCCAGGTGCAATATACGTCAAGAACCCCTCCCCAGAACTGCGAGGAATTCTCACAATGGGAGGGCTGAGGTGTGCTCCAAAGGGTATGTTGGAGCCTTGTCAACGATCTGTGCTAATTCCTTGGTTTTTCCCAGCGCCAGCACTTCCTCATGATCGCGCAGGAGGGAACTTGCAGCCAAACGTCGAGCTGCAGGGCAAGGTCGGCGGTTCCGAAGAAGTCAATCGCGAAAAGCGTTTCCAAGGTCAAAGCATGGAAAGAGGAGAAGGGTTTTGGCTTTCTTATCGCCGATGATGGAACTGAAGTGCTGGCGCCTGAGGTTTCAAGGAACGAAAGAAACCCGTGGTCGAACCATGTGACTTCAGCCACAGGTTTGTGCATCGAAATCAGTTGACAGATGGAGCAGCCGTCGCGCTTGGGAGTTGGAATGTCAACGGCTCGTTTGGCGCCTTCCATGCTTTGTGGGTCGAAAGCGTGCGCTCATGACAGGCCGTGATCTTGAATTAGGTGCGGAGGTCACATTTGAGGCTTGGCTGAGGGTTGGGGATCAGGCTTCCAGATCGGAAATCCAGACAGCTTGCATGTGTTTTCAGTGTCCTGCAGAAACCGCTGCGCAGCCTTTGAAATTTGAAGGTGTCCAATTGTTACGCGTTGGCTCATGCCGCTTGCAACGCACTTTGCTTCCAACTTGGGCACTCGCCACGGTGCCCTTAAAAAAGAGCGAGTCGGCTTTCGATGTCACGGGCGACTCCCGACCATGCAGGCCCGGTTCAACCAGCAGCGGGTGCCGCTTGGACTGAACGGAGTCAAGCCTTGGCGATTTTTGAGCCGACTTCGTGGCGCTGCCTTGGCTCACGGCTTACTCCTTTTTGAGTGTACTCCACTTGGCAGATCCAAGGAAATGGGAGTGCACGAAGTGTTCTGGTGCGGTGGGCCCCCCGTCGAGTCCTCGAAACTGGCCAAAACACCGGAGCCAGCCAGCTTTTGTTGCTCTGAGGCCAGATCGCCAAGGCGGGGAATGTGCGTGTGTCAAAGTGTGGAGCCGACGGTGTGGCAGGTCATCCCGGAGTGGATGCAGCCAACAACCTCTTTGTTGGTGGGCTGCCCCTGGACACTTTGCTGCAATACACGGGTAGAAGTGGGACATGGCAGATGTTGACATATATCGCCTGGGTTCTTGACACCAGGACATCACAGACGACCTTTTGTACCAAATCTTTGGTCAGTACGGCATCGTCAAGCAGCTTAAGGCATCATTTGTCCAGTGCTGTCACCTGCACATGGTTTCACAACATCCTGCAGGTCTTGCCTGACAACGGCAAAGGAGACCGGGCAGCACTGATAAGGCCAGTGCTTGAATTGTGAAGGATGCCATGCTCCCTTCCTTGTCCAAAAGTGGAACATCACACATGAGGAAATGTGACATCATGCGTGCACACACGCTGCAACTCATCTCGGTCCCTCATGTTCTGCTTTTGTATGCTGCGATTTTGTTGGTGGAGATGGTTTCCTCACGATGCCACCACATCGGCCAGGATGGCGGATCCGACGGTTGCGCAGTGGCTGGTCAGCAACATGAACGGCAACATCCCCCAAGGCATGCTAAAGCTTGCACCTACCGCGCATGCCAGAGACCGAAGGGTGTGCCAGGCATGACAGCACCAATCATGGTGATGTATTCCAAAAGTCAGCCTGCTGGGTGCTCAATGGGTTTCCTAATCATTTTGTGTGTGTGTGCGCGTTCGCGTCTGAATCTCGCACCCTGAGGGCAAAACCGGCTTTGGGGGCGGGTACGGGCCAGATGCTCAGTCTGTGGCATGTTCCTAAACTCACTTGTGCAAAGATATGGAACATTTGGAATGCAGGCCGCAGCATGGAGGTGGAGACATGCGGTTCAACCCCTACGGCCAAGGCCTCAGCTTCAGAAATGCACCGAGTTCAGCTATCCGGCCCAGGTGCACAGCCAATGCAGCAATTCTCCCAGATGCCGATGCAACAATTTCCACAGATGCAGATGCAGCCATGCATGCAACAACAATTCCAACCTCAAGCTCAATATCAGCAGTTTCAGCAACCCTTTCAACAAATGCAGCCACAATTTCAGCAGCAAATGGGCCAACCTTTTCAGCAACCACTTGGACAAGGGCAGTTTCAACAGCCGCAGTTTGGACAACAGATGGGGTTCCAACAGCAGCAATTCAATCCGCAGATGCAGTGGCAACAGCAGCAGCAAATGCAGCAGCAGCAGCAAATGCAGCAGCAGCAGCAGATGCTTCAGCACCAGCAGATGCTCCAACAGCAGCAGATGCTGCAACAGCAGCAGATGCAGCAGCAGCAGCAGCAGCAGATGCAGCACGCACAATTGGGTCAGCCTCAGATGCAGCTGCAAGACATGCAGCAGGCACAAGACCCCCAACAACAAATGATGCAGATGCAGCAACCAATGCATATGCAGCAGCCGCAGATGCAGCAGCCGCAGATGCAGATGCAGCAAGTTCAGCCCCACCCAATGCCAGGGCCACAAGGGCTGCAGCAGGACCAGCAGATGCTGCAAGCACAGCCACAACAGCTGGCCCAGCCTTTACCAATGCTGCAGGACATGCAGCAAGCCCAGTCACAAGAGCAGCAAAAGCAGACGGCGCAAGGGCAAAGCCCACAGCAGCAAATACAGCAAGACGGGCAGCCTCAACAAAAGCAAGATGTGCAGGAGCAGCACGGCCAACTGCAGGTATCGCAGGAACAGGCGCAGCAAGCGCCAGAGCAAAATCAGCAACAGCAGACACCACAACCGGTGCAAGACGCGCAGCAAGCACAGCATCCACCCAACCAACAGACGCACGACCAACAGCCACAAGACCAACAGCCCCAACGAATACCTCAGACTGAGCAGCAATTGCCAGTGGAACAGCAGCAATCTCAGCCTCAACAAGTAGAGCAGCAACAACAACAATCGCTCCAAGCGCAGCAGACACAGCAGGTGCCGCAGCCGCAAGATGACCAGCAGCAAGAGCAACGGCAGAAGCAGCAGGATGTGCAGCTGCAACAACAGCCGCAGCAAGAGCAGCAACAGCAACCTCAAGTGCAAGATGTGCAGCAATCGCAGCAGCCAGACCAGCAGGCGCAGATGCAACAAACGCCTCCACAAGCGCCAGCTCAAGAGCAACGTGTGCAACCAGTTCAACCCCCTTGGCAGCAACAGGCGCAGCAGCCGCAAGCAGCGACCCAAATGGGGGATGCGCAAGGGAAACCAGCGCAACCGGCGCAAGCGCAACAGGGAGACACACCAATGCCACAGGTGCAAGACCCGCCAGCCGCTCAGCAGCCAGCGCAGGTTGCGCAGCCACAAGCACAAACGCCTGAGCAGTCCGGGCCGGCGCCCGGACAAGCATCAGCCCAAATGCAAGACCAGATGCAGCAACAGTATCTTCAACAACAGCAGGCTCAGCAGCAACAGCAGCAGTACCTGCAACAGCAGCAGTATTTGCAACAGCAACAGCTGCAGCAGCAGCAAATGCATCAGCAACAGATGCAGCAGCATCCGATGCATCAGCAACAGGTGCACCAGATGCAACCACAGATGCATCAACAAGTCGGATTCCAGCAAATACCACAAGCGCAGCAGCAATTTCAGGGAATGCCACAGTGGCAAGGCCAAGGTATGGCACAGATGCAGCCGGGCTGCCAAGGGTTGCCGCCCGGCCAATGGCCACAACAAAGTCAGATGCAACTGGATCCGAACCTTCCAGTCCAGCCTGGACAGGGAATGATACAGGCCAACTGATGCAGTCGTGGAGGCAGGAGACAAATGCTTCCGTCGGACATGGCGGACTTTGTGCATTTTGCCCGAGGTTGCGTCACCAGCCCGTTGCCCATGCATGTCATTGGCAGGCTTCCAACCCGGAGCTTTGGTAGTGAGGGCGTGCCCAACAAAACCAGTTGCCTTGGCGTTTGCTCAAAGAAGCGCAGGAAGCATGGCTTGCGAAACGTGCTCGGGCAAAGTGTACCCAGTTAAGGTGGAAGAGAGCAAGATGCGTTCCAGACTCGCCGCCAGCAGAAAAATGTTTATCCGGCCACAGGACTTTTGGGACAAATGCTCATGACTCATGATAGTGGTTGGATTAACTGCACCTCGCCTGCAAAAAATGCTCGTTGTAGCTGCGGCAAGTCGGCCCAAGCAATCTCAGCTCGCGACCCACTGCCGTTAGCTTAGCAGCTTAGCAAGTAATCCTTTGAGCCTTGCTTCCCGAAGGCAATGGCCCGCGTTCCAGAAGCCAGTGTGCGGGTTGGGCGCTCACGGGAAGGTTTCGGTCCACTTTTGTTCAAGCGGGGCTCCCGAGTCTGCCGCGCACTTCAACTTGACGGCGTCGCTGGCTGCGGCTCAGCCTCAGGCCCATGATGCCCATGCGACGGGAAACTCAGGAAACGCGTACGGGTACCTTGCTCGCCCTGTGCGCAAGGTGAGGCGCAATGCAGTGTTGGGAGACATTACCAATACAGCACCTAACTTTGGTGCTGGCCGACGCCTTGGTGTGCTTCAAACGTGTGATCTTCCAACCCGTGAGCCAAAGGTGTGAAGCTTCTCGAGAAGCCGAACCTCCTTGGACTCGCGGATTGCTCAGCGGCAAGGGTTGGCGAAGCTTCACAATACACGCAGCTTCCACTAGCAGTCCCTAGTAAATCGGAACTGTCCACCTTCATGGCCTTGACGGTCCACCTCCATGGCCTTGACACAATGACTGACAGGGGCAGCTCCAGAACTTCAAAACCTGCTCGAACGCTGGCGTCGGGATCCAGCTGCATTCACCAGTCGGAAGCGAGCTGTGCTGAACCCAGGTCGGAGCCGCCACAGCGAGCCTGAGCAGGCAGCGAAGGACTTTTGATTGTTCCGGGAGGGGCCAAGCTGTAGGTCTTTCCGCAGCAGGGAAGATGCACTCATCGTTGGGCCCGGTGGTGCGACTGTAGCTTGGGGCCCAGGATTCGGCATTTTTCGCATCACACGTACGACGTTGCTAGACGTGAGGCGCATGCGCGGGAGAATGCCCGTTTCCTCCGACCCGCCTCCGGCGACTTCATGGCCGGCCCCGCGTCAGGCGAGCTGCGTGTCCATGTGGCCATGCAGGATGTCGGAGAGGATGATCCCATGGATGTAGAGGAGTGGGCGCAACATTCGGCGCGTTTCAAGAGTTCACCCTAAGGATCCCCAGAATGTCGGTGAGTACGTCAAAGACATCTACTCCCACATGCTGTCGGTAGAGGCTATCTTCCAGCCTAGGCGACGTGGGTTCCTTTTGTGTGAGCAATTCATCTTTAGGAAGGAATGAGAGCCACAGATCCAGAGGGGGGAGAGGCCACACTATATATCGCAGCAGCGCGAGATCAATGCAAAGATGAGGGCGATCCTGGTTGATTGGCTCGTGGAGGCAGAAGTGTGTTGCAAGCTGCTTAGATGGGCCTGTCGGCCGTGAGGTCCACATGAAATACCGGCTGAGAAAAGAGACACTGTTCATGGCAGTGAACTTAGTCGATCGATTCTTGTCCTTGAGGCCGGGGCTCTGAAGCTTGATCAAGCAGAATGCTTCACTTCCGTTGTGTCCATGATTTTCTGATAGGCAAGTGGCGCGCAAGCGATTACAGCTGTGCGGGGTTGCAGCCATGTTTATTGCCGCAAAGTTTGAGGAGCTTGTGGCATGCTGTGCGTTGCAACAGTGCGATTCAGCTGAAAGCATTTGGGCTCCCTCCTGCGAGATTGCCAGGAGATCTACCCTCCAGAGGTGAAGGAATTTGTTTACATCACTGACAATGCCTACACCAAGGATGATATTCTGCACATGGAGGCGCGCAACACACAGCTCACACTTGCGACATCACCCCGTAGCATAGTCGTAGCATGCTGCCTCACATAAGTTGCACCATCCATCCGCAGGTTTCCATTCTGAGGGCTCTCAACTTTGAGCTTTGCGGCACCGCGCCGAGCATGGCGAAAATCACTTTCATTGTTGCAGACCGCCGACGGCAGAAGCGAAGCTTTTGCAATTGCAAGGCCCGACCCCGGCGCATTTTCTAGATCGTTTTGCGCGTGCCGGTCAATGCTCTGAGGACTGTATCGTACAGTCCTTTGTATATATTGTAGATGTTCCTCTCCTAAAATTCCGGCTGTCCGGCATCCCACTTGTCAGGAGCACGCACATTTGATGCAGTATTTGGCGGAGCTATCGTTGCTTGAAGTTCAGATGCTTCAGTATACGTCTGCAACTCAGACCTTTTGGCCAAACATATTTGATTTGCATCTTTGGCGCTTGGGGAGGGGGGGGGGTTCAACTGTATAATTTGTGCATTTGGCCAGGGAGGATCTACTTTTTGAGTCGCATGTGACATGAATTGCAGATCGGCACACAGAAGCGTAGCCATTGTAGCATGTCAGATGAGTTCACTCACCCAATGCCCAGTAATCACTCCAGTGATTCCATGCAGCATGAGAATGTGAAGCATCATTTCATTTCTTGCACGCCCAACGTGAGAAGCATGCACTTTCCATTGCTTCGGCACACCATCAGAAGCACCCTGTCGTAACCTGAGAAGCATGCTCGCTTCAGTGCTTCCGCGAACAACATGGCCTGTGATTCCACTATTTGACATTGCACGCGCAGCACGATAAGCGCGCAGCATGAGAAGCAGCTCTATGATTCGGCATTTCCCGCACAGTCTGGCCTGTGATTGCATAGCCAAGCAGATAGATAGTCAGATGCATAGAATATAGATAGACATAGATGTCTAGGCAAACTCATTTCTAGACATATACAGTAGCACTAAGGACGTCTAGCTAGAACTAGACACATAGATAGAGTGGTTGCCAGACAGATCGTCATGACAACATAGATTGCGACAGGTAGATAGCCAAACAGATGGCTTTCTCGAGAAGCAGCTAGGTAGACAACTTGAAAGCGAGACAGATGAATGGCAATAGATAGATCTAGCATGATGCAGCTCTACACACAAACAGCCAGATATTTAAAGTCTGCGACCATGAGATGGCATTGGAGATGCATAGCCATAAAGATATACATTGGAAAGCGCACAAACAGCTAGACAGCAGAAAGGCAACAAGCAATTTTCCAAACAACTAGCCTGCTAGAGAGACCGGTAGCTCGACACGTGGATAGCGACGAAGAGGTGGCCAAACAGACGGCTTTTCGACTAGCTGGACTGATCGAGACCCAGGCGCAATGGACGTGTTGCGACGTGCTGAGGCCCGCAAACGAAAAACACGCGCACATACAAAAACTATACTGAGTAAAGTCTTCTAAGAAAGTGAGAATGTGGGTCAATGTGGGTTGCAAAGAAAAACAACATCCTAGAACGCTCGATCGCGGAAGCACTCTCAACAGCTTCAATTGTGAGGCGCAACGCGATTTGTTTATCTCAAACGAGACAGTCCAGATTCAACTTCGGCAGTATGTTCCTGTATGTCAAGGACTGTTGTGCAGTAAGGCCGTCACATGTTGCTGCAGCAGCTGCGCTCTTGAGCCTCCCCTGCTGCATTTCAATCTCTCTGTTCCATTTGGAGAAGCGGCCGTGCCAGGCAACAAGCTCTTGAAATGTCCAACCTGGCCAACGTGCGGGCCTTACGACGAGAGACCACCAGCTTGTGGCAGAGCAAATTTGAGCGACTTGGTCACTAAGGTGCATGGCACAAATCAGCAAGCACTCCGAGGCAGAAGTTAAGGCCGCCTGTGTTTGACCACATGCAAGCCAGCCGGGCGACGAAGCCGAACTTTTGCGAGCGCCAGGCATGCGCTCGCGAAATGTGCGGGGTGCTCGAGACAATGGAGAGGACTGCGGAATGCTGGACCGAACTTCAAGAGCTCCATAGTCTCTTGCGAGGAGTTCCCTGCAGGCGATTCGCAAGAAGTACTCACAAGAACGGTTTAGCAAAATTGTCTGCATCTTATGGGAAAACAAATTGAGCGTTCTTCTTTCCACTGATGCTTTCACATGCTGACCGGAGAGTCTTTTTTTGTTCTTCTTCTTTTTTCCGAGGCAAAGATCACCTTTGGGAGTTGAACTGCCTGAAGGGGTGAATTAGATGATGCCTTTTTTGAACTTCTTCCTCAAAATGCTTTCGGATTACCCGATCGGCCAAGCCGTGTGCGGCATGTGCTCATGCAAACATTTGCCAGCTGCAGACAATCGCAGCGATCTGGAGCAGCGAGCCTCCACCGGATTTCTCAGGATCTCTGTCAATTCGGTGCACGTAGTTCGGAACGCACTCCCACTTGCTTGACAGCTCCAATTTTCAGTGGATTCTTTATGGTTATTCATTCCATGTTGAAGGCAAAGTACATGGTCGCGGGCGGGGTGCGACACTGCATTGTGGCTCTGGCCAGCCCAGTGAGACGAATGAGACGAATGAGACGAATGGGAGAGGTGGCCAGAAGCACTCGAATTCGTTGCATGGCGGAGCTCCGTGCGCCTCAACGATTGCAAGAAGCCTCGGTTGGCAGTTGACCATGCCCTGTTGCCATGCTTTGCTTCAGGCAAAGCTGGCAAGCAAGGTGCTAGCATACGGGGCGTTGGCCTTTTTCGTCTCAAAGCCAAACAGCCACAAAAAATATAGCTGAGTCACAATTGATTGAGCTTTTTCCACGGTCAGCAGGAGTCATCTCGATACAATTCGAGAGCCGTTCACGGACAATCAGAGGAATTACCAAGCCTTTTGCGCGCGCACGATGCCATGTGCTGCATGCGGCGAGGCAATGACTCCTTTTGGAAAGTGGGATGCTGTTTTGCACCTGCAGGAGCCCAGCGGAACTGAGTGGAGATGGGATCCTTTGAGGCAAGAAAGTTGTGTGTGTGTGTGAGTGTGTCAAAATTGGGTGACCTCCGCCCCCCCAAAGAAGAAAAGAGAGTGGTGTCCTTTTGGGTTTCTAGCCTCAAAAAGTGCTATCAAAAAGAAAAACCATGCCCACATGCCCATGGAAGGATTCACTGCGCAACTGTGGCAACTTGCAGAGGTGGGAGCTGGATCCACCGTGTGCAGAGGCGGGGACGGGCGTCGTTGTCGCTTGGGCGTGGGTGGCGTTTTGTTAGGCGGAGTGGAAGTATCTGGGGGATGCTGCTGGAGCGCCCGAAATCATGAGCAGCCAGCAGCCGGGCCCCCAGCCAAGTCAGCCTCATTCAGCTCGAGAGAGCAAATTTCAGGGGTACTTTGTTTCCCGCTGAGCCTTAGGTGTAGCTACAACAACAAGGTCTGCCGTGGATGCTACAACTCACGGCTGACCATCATGGGCAAAGTCCAGACAAGGCCTGAGCCTTTGGAGACAGACAAGGCCTTCCGAATTTCCTGAGGATAAGAGCCAAGGGAGGGTTGGAGGAGCTGCAGCCGTCATTGAAGGTTCGCAAGGCCGGCCGGGTCGGAGATGCACATACTGGATAAAATTGGATCGCACCACTTTCAATCCATGGTTGAAACCATTGTTTGCTGGCATTTCACAATTCCAGGATTTCTTGGACGGGCGCCCAGATGATGTTGAATTTCGTCCATCCACAGTAGGCCCTACCGCAGATTTACCAAGCGATCCCACTTCAACTTGGGTGCCCATTGGGAGCGCAGAATCGCAGAAAGCCGCAAAGCATCTCTTCCAGGACTATGAAGCAGCTCACGAGACGGTGTTGACGCGAAACCGCGCCGCACGCGGCTGATTTGCCTGCACAACCGGCGAGGTGTCGCAGATCGCAAGTGAAGTGATCAAAAGTGCAGTGAGGCCAAGATCGATGGACTGCCAGCGGCTCAGCTTTCCCAATGCTACATGCAAATTGACTGCTGGTGCTTATTAGTAAAGGTTACTTGTTCATTTCAGCAGCGGCCAAAACCTCCGTTGGCCATGTTGTGCACCGGAGTTTTTTGCCAAGTAGGGTTCAAGTAGGGTTTGGCCTTGGCTTAGCCGGTAGTCCTCCCTTTTGGGTTGTTTTCTGTTTGTTTTTGGGATGGGTATCCCGCTAAACCAAGGCCATCACATGTCGCTCACCAAATGCCGTGAGAGACACTGTTTCACCCAGGAAGAACATGGATTGGGGTCGGGGTCACTCTTCATGGGGGCTTCGTGTGGAGTAGATGGTTCTACTACGGTCTAGCAAGCTGGTGACAGTAATCCCGAAATATATTTTTTGACGCTGCTCATTCGATCTCGCGCAGGCAGAAGGCTGCCCATTTGAATGGACAAGTTGGCAGGCGCTGAGCCAGCACACATAGGGCCATATTATTAATTCCAGGCTGCCCTAGAAGACAGGCTAGTTTCCGTGCCGTTGTTGTTTCATGTGGCAAACCTGAATCGCGTTCAGAACATGTTTCTACTGGATAACTGCACAAGTGCGCAGTGAGGGATTACAATGCCTGCTTCTCTGCTGCATGTTCTCGTTTTGTTATCTTTGCAGTTGCTCTTGGCGCTATTTATTGTCGTGTCTGCTGTCATGGACCTTTGGCCCCCGCTCTGGCAGTAAATAACCATGGTCACCATGGTCACTAATTGACGAAGTCTTTGATGTTCTTGGCATCGCGCTGTCGCGCTTGCTTGCATTTTGGGGGCTTCGGTTCGGGAAACGGCGGCACAAAGATGCTGTCATCGCAATGGTGCTCACTGCGACAGTCGTCGTGATATTCGTTGTGGTTGGATTGTGTTTGTCATTGTGGTCCTTGTTGTGCAGTCATCGTGGCTGCTGTTGTCTTCACTGCTGCATCATCATTGTGGTCGTAGTCATTGTGGTCGTCCTTGTGGTCGTCAATGTTGCCTTTGTTGCGATCATGACTGCTGTGCTCGTCGCTGCGTGTGGTTGCAGTTGTGGTCGTTGTTGTTGTCTGTGGTTCTGGCCGTGATTGCTGTGGTCTTTGTTGGTGTTATCGTTGGTGTTGTCGTTGTGGTGGTCCTCGTAGCTGTTGTCATGCACGTTGCTTTGGTTGTCGTCGCGAGTATTGCTTTAATGAATCCGGCGATGCTGATGATGATGATGATGACGACAATGACGATGACTAACACGACGAGTAAGACGACGATGACGATGACGATGACGATGACGATGATGATGACGATGATGATGATGATGCAATTAATGCTGATGCTGGTGCTGATGCTGGTGATGGCGTGGTGGGTGGTGGTGATTTCGCTGGCCCTTACATGTCTGACTGGACGCTGCTGGTCCTTGCCGATGCTGTTCAACCGTTGGCAACTGCACGCGTTGAACCTGTCCACGTGCTTCAGCGTGCTTCCCTGAAGGTTACTGTCCAAGGATGCTGAGACCGGACGCTGGACAGTGGAGTTTGCTGGATACCCAGACTTCAGCTGTTCGGCTCAGTAACGATCATCAATTTGGCACAGGTGGATGGCGACAAAAAATCGATCTCCGAAGCAAACTTATCTGCATCGAAGGCAGGCTCGGTACAAACGATTTGCAATACTCTCGAATGGGTTGCCCGTTTCTGACCAGAGGATATTGACATGGAGTGGGAGATTGCCCGCGCAAAGAGACTTTGGCACGGATTTTGCAGATACAGCATATGCCCAGATCCTGCGCTTGGAGCAGATCGATATTGACCGTGCCCACGCCAGGTTTGCATCTAGCAATCCAGCAGCAGCACAAGCTGATGGGAAGCCAGTTGCAAGACCTTTGGGGTCGGAGGCTTGCAGGCAGGGCAGTCCGGAGCCTGGGCCACTGAACGCAAGGTCGAGCACAACCTGGCCAAAAGTGAAGGGCATTCATCCAGGCCCGCATTTATCATATTGACACGTGGCTCAATGCCGCATGTGCCGGTCCCAGCCTCTTTGAGGTGCTGTCGTTCGATTGCAGAACCTTGGCAAGATGAAGGCCAGCCATGAGAGCATGGAATTTCCGTTGCGCGGACAGAACCGTGGCAGGAGCTGAATGGGCGCAAGGGGAGGCCGAGTATGTGATTTTCAGAGGGTGCGATGAGATGTGGTGAGCAGGTGCATCAACTTCGACAACGAGGCATTTTTCTTCACACGTCCATAAGGCTGGAAGACCAATCCCTTACCTGCAGGCTGGCAGGTGGAAAGTTGACCTGGGTGATGAGTACAAGCGACTCGGCAGATCCAATGCAGTGTTGATTGGCTCTGCTTCTTTTCGCCGCCAAGATCGTTGAAGATCGAGAACTTGGCACAGGCCTTAGTGTCATCTCCTGCCTTAGTTGTTTTTGGTGGAGTGAGTTCGCAAGAGCGAGGAGCAGTCTTTCAGGTCCCGGCCCCAAACGAGAAGCCACCGACCAGGCAGAGTGCGCAAGAAGAGCCAGGGTCTCAAACACAGAGACAGAGAGAGAGAGGGAGAGAGACAGAGACGGTTGTCACTCATGATTGTCATTGATGCTCATTCAGCGTCCATTACTGCTTGTTTGCATTACGTGACCTCTGTACCAGGAAGGCAGCCGCATCAAGTGAGATGGCAAGGCCAGGGTAGACTTGGGCCATTTTTGCGAAAGCTCGCTTTGGCGCCGTTTGGCCATTTTACGCGTTGAGGCAAGAAGTGCTCAGTGCTCGAGAAAGACATGCGGAAGAGTACGGCTGCCACCTCAGGGGAAGGCATCTGAAATTGGCATTCATTTGGAGCACAAAGGCTGGGAAGGTTAGTCCAAGGATGGCACCGGCAGGCGCTGAAGAAGTGCTTACATGCTGTTGCTGTGTTGCATGCTGTGAATGATTGACTTGCGAATGAGGCAGGCAAAGAACTGCGACGATTCTGCGTGCTCCAAAAGCAATCAAATTGTTATTATGAAATTGAGTCCAAGAAACTGACGGAACACTGCTTGCAAGAAAGCTTCAGCCAGATGAACACAAGGAAAGAGAGCAGAGGTGCCAAAAGCAAGCAGCTACAGTTCTTGAGCCATGCTCTCTGCAACATGCAAGTGAGTCCTCACTGCTGTTGCAACCATGTGTGCCTTGCTCGGCAGCCAGCGGAATCTAGCTAGCCCATTCGTGAATTAGTTTGCCAACTAGTCAATCATCTAGCACACCTAGCGTGGAAAGTCAATGCATTTCATGTCTCCGTTGCGTCTCCACACGGGTTTCTATGCAGAGAAGCCGGTGCAATCTTGCGCCCAGGTAGGGTTTGCTTGTTGCATCCCAGCAAAGGGTGCGCTTTCCGTGAAGAATAGTCCGCAACATTGTGCTGTGCATATTTTGGTGTGGTTTGCTTGCTTCAAGCACCTTTTGAGCGGACCATTGCCCAAACTAGCTGGGGCCTCAAAGTGGGAAGAGTATGAAGTTGGACCCTGGTGGCTTTGCGGAAGCTTCGCAAAAACGACCCATGGCTTTTAAAAAACGAGGTCTGAAACACCCAGCAAGGGAAGATCGAGACAGGAAAATAACACTCTCAGTGCTGCAAAGCTGCGCAAATCTTTTCGGAGTTGATTGATGTAACCTACTACTGTATTCTGCAACACGTTATAATGTCTTATTTACAAGTTGCATATATTGAATAATATGCTTGTATAACGTTTGCAGATCGAGTGTTAAGCACAAACTGGCATGGGACACATCCATTGGCAGTCAGTGCCTAAGGTGCTGGTCATTCAATCGCTTCAATCCTGAGGCTTAAGCCTTCTCTTTCACGGCCTGCCTCCTTCGGCCAATGGGTCCATGGCTTTTGCAGGCAAGCCATGGGCAGACTTCACTGCGAAGTACACAGGCCAGTCACGTCAGCCCTGCGTCATCGTTCCGTCTCGCATAGCTTCAAGTGAGCGAGAACATAACGGGAACCCAAACATCAGGCATATTTTGTGGAAAACGTCCACGATGCGCCACTCCGCAAAGCCACCGTCATGCTGCGAAACCTCGCACTGACCTTTCCGCGGATCCTGGTCCCGAAACCCATGAAATAATTGCTCTAACATGATATATTCCGAATCTCGAAGCAAATGCTACTTACATAATTCTCAATTTATGTCATGTTAACTTCAATTTTATTATAACATATGTGCAAGGGTCAAAACACGTTATGTAGAGGTCTTCATTGCGGCCGCCGTGACATAACTGTTGTTTGAAAAACATGTGTGTAGCGACAGGGGGCCTTGAGTAGCAACACCCCTGTTTAGGGCTTGCATGTATGTAAGTCCCCATGGAACATGTTTGTAAGTACCTTTTTACTTGCATGGGAACGGAAGTACGTGCTGAACACATCGTGGAAGTCTAAGTCCCGGCTGCGACGCAAGACAGGTTTGAAGGATCTCGTCTTGGCAGTTTGAGCGTTCCAGTTTAAGAGGTGCTCCGTCGCCTTGGCGGGGACTGGCGACGATGCAAGCAAAAAAGAGGCACTGTGCTTTTGAAGTAGGGTTCCGGCAGCCCCTGGGAAAAAATCCGGCACCCGTAGCGACACCCAAAGCGACACCTTTCAGATTATGGAGCGACACCCAAAATCCCTTCAGGTAGGCAGTTGCCCCTTCGCGTACTACACTTGTACTACAAAGTTGCGATTTTCAAGCTGGGGCTGCAGACGTGTACTTCGCGTGCTACACTTGTACTACAAAGCTGCGATTTTCAAGCTTGGGCTGCGGACGTGTACTTCGAGTGCTACACTTGTACTACAAAGCTAGGAGCATGTCCTTGACGTAGAGGAGTCGGCGGGAAGTGATCGTCCCGTGTGTCGAGCAAGCACTACCATCTCTTCCGCAGTAGCCCATGGGGAAAAGGCATGAAAGGAAGGAGGTTGAGGCAAGCCTCATGTACTACTTTGGTGCTGAAAAGCTGAGACCTTCCAGCCGAGATGCGAGAAATGAGCTGGCACTGTGTGTAGCGACAGGGGGCCTTGAAGAGCGACACCCCAGCCAGCCATGACAGCCAACCACAACACATGTTTTGACCGCCGCACATATAGAAATGTCTTAAGCTTATTTTATTGCTGTAATATTTTTTCACGGAGGGGGCTCTGTGCGTTGCTGCTGGGGGCGTACTTCCAGAAATCGGCCGCCCAAATCGGCAAATCTCGGCGATATTTCGCTTTCCTGGCGCAAAAGGCTCCTCGCCAGCAGGCCCAGATTTCTATGATATTTGGTCCTCCTTGCCTTCTTGTATAGCGTTTCTTGTCGACGGGAGGGAAGGGTTGAAACATGGCCAGAATTGCGCGCTTCTGGCGCGGGGTGGGTTGGGGAGCGCTAGGGATTCGCAATATTTCGTCACACAACTGAAATTTTGCGTGCTTGATGTGTTGCCTGTGCCGCGTGCTTTGGTGGTTGTGTGGTGGCGTGGTTGTGTGGTTATGCGGTTGTGTGTTTCTGAGTTTCTGTGTTTTTTGTCTTTTTGTATTGTTGTGTGTTTTGTGTTTCTGTCTTTCTCTGTTTCTGTTTTTTTTTGTTTGCGTGTTTGTCTGTTTGTCTTTTTATATTTTTGTGTTGGCGTGATTATGTATTTTTGCGTTTGAATGATTTTGTGTTTCTGTATTTTTTGTTTTTTTTGTGAATTTGTTTTTCTATGGTTGTTTGTTTGTGTGGTTGTGTGGTATGGTTGTGTGGTTGTGTGGTTCTGCGTTTGTGTTATTTTTATTTTGTGTTGTGTGTTTTTTTGTGTTTGCATATATTAGTATTTGTATTTTTTGCGATGTTATGATAATAGTATTATGTTTATATAGGTTTGTAGTTTTTCAATTTATAGTTATATATTATTGGGAAATTTTAGGATTTTATATATTTAATAAGTTAATAACAATATAAAATAAACATATATATATATACACATATTAGTAAATAATTGCTTAAGTATATAACATATAATAATGTCGTTATATTATTCGAAATATAAATATTGTTTAAATGATGAATGTTTCGTTACGCATTCGGACAACCATTAAATGATGATGATTATTAAATGATATGAATGTATTTGTAAAATTGTTTTGTTAGGCAATATAAAATAGAATATAATGAAGTGAAATGACGTCCGGTGGTATTTTGCCCCTTTGAAGGGAAAAAACATCTTTTTGTAGAGGTCCTAAAAGGTTGACCTTCTATTTTCAGGTGCTTTGTGCAGGTGAGGTCAAGTTGAAAGGGAAAGCGGAACCGGAAAGAAGCAGAAGCTTCTGGTTGTTTGAGCAGGAGGCGTAGGAAGGAGGTTGTTTGAACTGTGGTTGGGGCATGTTACATCGCTCCAGCTCCCATTGATAGGAAATCAGGTCGATTGAGCAATTTTAGTCTTGATGTTCTGTGGCTTAATGCCCCATAAGTATTGATTTCCCCGAAAGGATGCCACCACCCAGTCCAAGGTTTGTTCCCGAGATTTGGCACCCGCCCTGGGTTTTTTTTGGGCAGATGTCCCCAATGCAGAGATTCGGTCGAAACATTGGACTCACAGAAGGTCCCATTCCCCATAGTTCTAACCTGCTCAATTTTCTAGGAAGCGGTTTGGATGCGTTTGTTGTGCATCCACCCAGTAGGATAGCAACAGGGTACAAACGAGTATTGGGAAAGGTAAATCAACTGGGGAAGCAACGCGTGGGATCCACAAAGAATGCATCCAATCCGTTTGCTGGAAATTTGGGGGCGGCAAAAATAGGAGGGGGGGGTTGCCCCGACACGGGTCCTTGAGGGGGCGCTGTTTGGCAACCTGGCCGGGTTTGCTCGGCTCGGGCGCTGGCAACACGGGCTGGTGATGAGCTCCTTCGGCGCGGAGATGGCGCTGAAAGCCTTGGAAGGCGCCGGGGTGACAGGTGGCGGTGGGTCCAAACCAATGGGATCCCATTTTGGTGGGTGATTTCACCACCCATCTTAGAGCCTATTTTAGTGGTTGGATTGGGATGTTCACTGGGGGTACGGGGTTTTGACCCATGGCCAGGTGGCGATTTGGCAATTTTAACTTGGCTGCTATTGGGTTGGATCTTGAGACTTGAGCTTTTCGGGAAATCAAGGGGTTTCCCCACTAAACCCACAAAAAGCTAAACTTTTTGCAGAGGGCTCAACCGCAACCAAGTTGAGGTCACTTCTTTTTTCTTTTTTTTTTGTCGTACCCTCCCAACCAGTAACATGGAACCTGACGTTCGGGGCTCCCTTTAAACGAACATGGTCTTCCAGGACCACCCTTGTTTGGTTCCATATCAGTTAGTAAGAAAGTATTAAACAAAAAGCAAAAAACATGTCGTACACCACCATTTTGGGGATCCTCCAAAAAAGAGACCCGAGTGGCCGTGGCTCAAATGAGCCACAATCAAAACCCGGTCCCAACCAGAAATGGGTGCAGCCGCCGAGTTAATTCTTTAAATGGTTCTGCGTAGGCCTTTCTAATACCATGATTATGACTCAAGTACCGAAAATGTTTGGCACCTTGGTAAATGGATGTTGGGCCAAAAAAGAAGTACCCACCGCGGGCCGGATATGAAGCCTACCATAGGCAGTTTCGGGTTCACTCCAAAGTTTCTTGGTGGAATCCCCTAAACATGGACACAAACCCCTTCCATAGGGGTCCTCACTTCCCTCCTCGTTGCAAGGCCTGCGCTGGCAGGGGCTCCAAGTGCTGGGCATCCTGCGCCAGGTCGGGCGAAAATGGAAGTTGCATACCCGTCATGGCTCGAAGCTATGTTTCAGCTTTTCTCGAATTGGTGGCTTGGATTGGAGGTTGGGAGGTTTGGGGTAGCTCCCCAGAACCTACCCTCAAGAACCAGAGGTTCAAATCTCCAAACCACCGGACCAGGGTCAACCTGAATGTTTGCTCTTTCAGTTGGCGTGGGGAGCTTTCCCCACTTTAGTTTTTACGCTGAACATTTGCGACCGGCCCCTCTGCTTGCTTCGGGCCCAAACAACAAAAAGGCAACGCGGATTCCAAAAAACAGCGTTGGGGTTGACCAAAGAGGGTCCGCCTTGTTTTATTGGCAAAAGTCAAAACACATGTTATACAAAGCGGTGCAACCAAAGTGGACATCGCGCGTGTTGGACAAATGTGGGTTCCGCACTCGCATAGCTAATTGCGAGGTTGACAGCTACAAAAGACTGCCGGTGCGCATGCACGCGCGCTTTTTCCTTCGCGCACAAACGCCGTTTGTCTGCGCTGGACGCATGGGAGCGCATGCTTTCCATGCGCTCACATGTGTGAGATTGAGTTGCCCAGTTTAGCAAGCAAAAATGTTGCTGGTTAGATACTTGTTGTTAGTTCGAAAGTTAGGTAATTCGCTGGGTAGCCTAAAGAACTAGCTACCTAGCTAGTTAGATAGCTGGCTTGCGCCGGCGAGCCACTTGGATAGTTTGTTGGCCAAGTCGCTAGTTCGTGAGCTAGCGAGTTGGCTGATGAAGGCTTGTTGAAGATTGCCATCTCTCTGAAATCAACATGGAACCTGAACAGGGAGAGGACATTTTCCTTTCAGAGACCCACTGTCAGGTTCCATGTTAATTAGTGCGGGGGCAATTTGGTTAGTGAACTTCCTTTGAGGCACGGCGGATGCCCTAAATATTGCAAGTACACCAAGCATACTCAACCGCAACATCATTGCAAATCACAGTTGTCTTAGAGGGTTTCCTTGTTCCCTTACTTGCAATATTGAGTTGGCATCCGCCGTAAGGCGGTCGAACGTCGGCCAAAGGACCTGTGCCAGGTTGGGCTCCAGCAGGACATGGCCACTTTGACCTCCGCCTGCCGCGCATGTGGCAAAGGCGCCCAATCCGCCTGGCAACGCGCGCTGGGCTGGTTTCCGCGGCGAGGGCCGAGGGGGTTGGATCTGGCAGAGTGCAACGCTCTCATCAGCGCCCTAGGTTGTGGATTCATTTTCCACGTTTTCTTTGTGCGTGTTTTTTTGGTGGAAGGCCTTTTTTTTTTTAAAGCAGGTGTTCCCTTCCGCTTGAAGGCGTTTGTCTTGGGGGAGGGCCCCATTTTGCAAAAGAAGGGGGTCCCCAACCGATGACTAATGATCTAGTGGCTTTCCCTTGGTGGCTAGGTGGAAATGCAGGTGGGCCTCATGATTTGCAGTTGCGATACCCTGCCCCTTAGCAACTGCCAAATGGATATGTATCAAAATAGGAGCTGGCAAAACAATGTGGTTTTCTTGCGGTGTCCCTGCGAACCAAGCTGAAAGCGTACCCTCAAAAACACAAATCTCACTTGCCAAATGTTTCTGCGTGAAAAAAAGCTCGCTTCCCCGGAAGGCTTTTCGCTTCCCCAAGGCTCCCAAGGCTAATGCCCCATTTTCCGGACGAGCGCGGGTTCCTTTTGGCTCCGGCGCCAGGCAGGAGCTGTCAGTGATGGCTTGGAGGCGCCAAAGGGCTCAGGCATATTTCCGGTTGGAAAAGCGCACAAAGAAGGAAACACCCAGGGAGCCACAATCATACCCTAGGGACGCGAAGGGTACTCACTCCTTAGACTTTTTGGGAAGACCATGTTGGTGGCGGACCAAAGTTCGGGCTCTTTTGGGCCTATCCACTCAGGAAGTGAGGGACACTCCCAATCATACATGGGCGCGGCCGCCTTGGTGACTCCGTTCACTATTTCTGTACCAGGTTTTGACTATGGCTCAAGTGAGCCACAATGAACACCTAGGTGGATGCCTGTTCGGTGATCGTCTGAATATAAGAAACCTCGGTTCTTTCCATGGTATTAGACCTCTTTAGCGCCAGGTTCTATCTGTGACTCAAGTGGGTTTGTTTGAAAATAGTGGAACCTCAAAAATGTGGTTGGCCCTTGAGTTTCCCTTTATCCCCCCCAAAGAAGAGCTGCCATGAACAAAAGACACGCCAACTTACAGCCAAGAAGTTTCTTTCCTTCACCCTCAAAAAGACATACCGACCAGCCCAGTGGGGACTCTCTCTCTCTCTCTCTCTCTCGCCTCTACATTTGCCCGTTTCCGCCAGTTTCCCCACGTTGAACTTGCGCACCTGCCGTTGCTGAGACCCGCACTTAGTACAACTTAAAAAGGTGGCGAGCTTCCATGCCTCATAGCGTTTGGACATGACTTTTTCCGCAGCCGTCGCCGAGGCGTCATCGGCGAGCAGGCGGCCCAGCGCATGCAGGGCCCCCAGAAACAAGATGGGTGTGGTCCAAGAGGCTCCCACTCTACTCTGGGTCCCTGCGTAGTTTTCGGGGACCCCCCCCTCAAAAAGGCACACGCTAAACTTGTTGTTTATTTTAAAAGAGATGAATAAATAGTGGGTTTCCTTGTGGCTTTCCCTTTAAAAACAAAGGCCTCAAAAGGACGCACCCCATTTCGATGGCTCGAAGGAGTCGGACCCCAGAATGGAGTTCGGTGTCCTTGAGCGCCAATCACGGGGCCTCACAAAAGACACACAACCGAGGCAACACAGAACAGCAACATGCCTGTGGCTTGCCGGAAAGGTAGAGGTTTGTTTTGTTTTTGTTGTTTACTTAAAAGTGTTCCAAGGAGGTTCGGTGCTTTTTGAGGGCGAACCGCCACTTCTGTGAGTTAAGAGCAGTTTTTGGTAGGGCCACTTGCCCTTTCGGAGGTCCGAACTCGGAGAGCTGGAGATTTCCAACACGGCCTGGGCGTTTGCTCGGATTGCCGTGCGGGGCGAGAGGCGCGGTTTTGAGGCGGTTTTCGGTTGTGATGTGCTCGCATGGTAAGGCTTGCGATTTTTTTTTTTGGGTGTGTTTCTGCGACCGGGCCCAGGCTAATGCAGGCAATTTCCAATGCCAGCAGAAGTGCTCCAGTCGCTGGCATCGGAACTGTGGACAACATTGAGGGCTCCCTTCTCAGTCTCAAGAAAAGCTGCGCTGCATGGCGCGCCCCGGCACCCGAGGTTTGAGCCCCCAATGGGATTTACTCCATCGCCGGGGCCCCCAATTCGTGGCGTAGACCCCGGGCGAGTGCAGAGGGATCGTCAGGTTTGGTCTTGGAGGACGGGGCGCGCCCATTTGATGGCGCGGCTGGCACGATGGCCTGGGGCCCAAGTTGGCGATTTTGGGGTTTTGGCGCCGGGGCTTTGCTCGGAGCAAGTTAGCTGCATTTGGAAACAGGCGCAAACAAGCCTCCAACAAACCAGTTACAGCTACAGAACATCCTGCAGAACATCCTTTTTTTTGGATTTTGTTTTGTTTCCCCCCCCCCCCCCGGGTGGAGGGAGGGCGGATTCACGAGGATTTGTGTGGCTGTGTCTTTTTTTCGAGGTATATACCCCTTTTTTTGGCGGTTGTTTACAGGGGAACCAACGGGAAAACCCTTATTTCGGAAGGTCCAACCTCAAAAAAGTGAGACATGGCCAACAGGTGATCCGGATCCCCATGAAACCGCCCGTAGCAGTGGTTAGTTTATACATCCTTGGGAGCCCCGAGCCTCGGGTAATGCGAGGGCCACCTTTTGGCGAAAATGAGAGCCGTGCCAGGCATGGCAAAAGGCTGGGGCCTGAAAGATGAAGCCAAACTTATCTTTGTTGCATTTTGCTTGCATGTTAGGGCTTGCACTTTTTGCCAACTAATGGGTTTTCCATTAAAACACTAAAAGTTAAACTTCTAGCAGGGAAGCAGAAAGCAACCGAGTTATAGCCTTTTCGCTCCTTTCCCATTCCTTTTCCCAGGACCAGGTGCGGGAGAGCAGAGTGATTCCCGCAGCTCAGCGCAGTTTGATCATGCGTGTGCGCGCGTCCCTTGCGCATCCATTGGATCACTGAGCACGAGAAGGCAACTGCTGTTGCTGTTTCACCTGTTTAAATGTTTGTCGAAGAAGTGTGATCGTTTGCGAGAAAATAGTCAGATCGCTGCACCCTGAGTGCCCGTGAGCTCGCGGAACTGAGTGCTTCAAGGCAAAGAAGAGACCGTGCTAGCTGTTGGTGTTAAAGTGCAGCGCCAGTGCTGCCGGCTTGCAGCTCCGGGCCCAAGGGGAGGCGAACGTTGAAGGCGTCCATAGGCATCCCCGGGTTTCGGTTCTCACGGCTGCTTCGAAGGCCATGGGCAGCGGAGGCTCCGTGGAGGAGGAGGAGCTGGGCCCGGTCACGCCATACGCTTTGCTCCGCCTTTCGCATTTTTGGATGCGGTGAGGTTACAAGTTACAAGGCATCCTTGCAAACCCCTGACACAAATCGATACAAATCGGAGGTTTGCTGGGCACCCTGTGATGCGCAACTGAGGTGCTGTGGTCACGGTAGGGCCGAAACCAGTCGTAGGGCAGTGCGAGTAGCGCACTGGATAAAGGGAGATGGCTCGTGAACTACCCAGCATCGGGCTGCACAGAGTGAGCCGGTCACCACTTATTCAGACGTGGTGCGAGTTGCGCACCGCTGAAGGAGACACCAGGCCAGACGAACGCTTCACCGGCAAGAAATGAGAGCTCAAACCAGAAGGAGCGCTTCTCAGCAGAGGCTCAGGAGGGGTTTCCAAAAACTGCATGTATGTTGGAGCCCTTTCCGCAAGCCGTTTTTTCTTCAATGAGGCTTTCTAGATGGCAAGCAACTTCCAAGAGAAATGCTCTCTTTATCCCACACAATTCATCACAATTCACTCCATGCGGTGGTTTTGGGGGAGGATTTCGGTGTGTTTGCATTTTTTAGAAATAGTAGCGGCTGCGGGGCACAGTATACAGATGGCGTCGCCCCAGTGATTTCAGCACGCGCATCTCCTGGGATCCGTGCTCTGGGCTCCCCTCTGCTGGTGGTTTTCTTCCTGTACTGCTTTTTCTTGAGACGCATCTTACCCCCAGCTCTGCCGTCCATTCTGCGTGGGGCCACAAAATGCCACAAGGCTTGTCATTGTGAGACTGGGTTGGGTGGGTGCATCACCACCGTAACGATTGGCTTAATCGGCCAAGTCATGAACGAAAAACTAGGGTCATTCATTATGAACGTGAATAGTGCTGCGCGCGAATGTGGAGACGTTGGTTGATTGGCGCATCATGAAGGCAAGCGGTGCATCATAAGCGCGAGACGTGGGTTGGCTGGCTGCATCATGAATGCGATGCTGGGGTTGAGTGGCCCACGTGCATGTGAGACATTGGCTTTTTGCCGCATCATGAGTGCAAGGGTTGCGTCATATGCTTGACACTTGGGTCATCATGAAATCAAGACATGGGTTGATTGCCTGCATCATGCATGAGGGTTGCATCGTGATCCTGAAAATTGGGCTAGTCGGCAAACTCATAAACGCGAGGCTCAGATGGCTCGGGTTGATTGGCCCCATTCACATTTCGAACCCGAATGGTGCGTTGCGTGATAAGCGTTTGGCTTGGGTTGCTGCGTCATCAATGCGATGGCCCTGTCGGTCATGTTGTGCTGAACAATGCCACAACCGTCCCCTTTGCTCTTAAAGACTGTAGGCAGCTGGGGCAGGGCGCGGATAAGCAACTTGCGGGGAGTAGGTTACAAGACATCTCTTTGCAGCCCAGGCTCATGTAAGACAGCCTCGCCCCAGGACCCGCGTGACACAAGCCAGCTCTCCAAGTACTTCAAGAAGCCCTACATTGAGGGGCATATCTTCTCGAGCTCGTTGTATCATGAAGATGCCATTGGTGAGCTCGTTACTTACAGGTATGATGCGCCTGACGGCCCCATTCAGGTGTGGCAATATGCCTTTGATCTTCGAAGCTTCTTTCCAGATGCCTTAGAAAAGAGCAAGGGCGAGGCGCTCGTGTTGTACCACTACACAAACGAGTTCTGCTTTCAAAATGTTGCCAACGTGGAGCAGATGTCGGCGACAATTTTTGCCTCCCTGGTTGACGAGCGAGCGCACTTTGGCAAGGGAGTATATGCCACGCAGCATGAGCCTGCCCATTGGAAGGAAAGGGTCCGAGTTCTGCTGAACAACTACAGCAATGAGGACCCATGGAGGCCAGATCTGACAGATGCGGAAAGCAAGCGAGTGGCGCAGGAATGGGGTGACCCCAATCCCCAACACAAAGACACGGCGCACCCCCAACATCGGGCTGCGTTTTGCTTGCCCCTCATCGTGCCCCAAGTCTTGGCCTACAACATCTTCCAGCGACAGACCCCAGACCTGAAGTCCAAGGGCGTGGCCTTGGGGCAGGATTGCAAAGGCAGAAAGGTGGATGACAACCGAGATGTGTGGGTGGTGCAACTGGCAGAGGCCGGCGATGCCGGCGCCGGCAAGATGGGCAAGGCATGCGCTTGCAGCTACTCCGAAAGTCAAGAGGAAACACGGATGTGGCAACCCTGGCTTGCATCCACACTTTGGCCCGCAGGCTGCACGGGCGCGGTCAACTTGATGAGGCAGAGGACCTGTACATGGAAGCGGTCGAGGCAAACTCGAAGAAGCTTGGAGATGACCATCAACACACTCTACGGAGCTGCACCAACTTGGCAGGTTGCATGCATGCCAAGGGAAACTTGCCGATGGCGGAGCAGTTCTACCGCCATGTCTTCAAGGTCCGCACAAAGGCCCTTGGTAAACATCCAGACACGGCCAAAAGCATGGCTAACTTGGCCAGTGTGCTCTCTGACATGTCCCAGCTCGAGGAGGCGGAAGACTTGGCCCGTCGTGCTTTGAAAATGAGGCAGGAGACGCTGGGCCATGCGCATCAAGACACATTTGCCAGCATCAACAACGTGGGTGTGCTGCTTTTTACGCAGGGCAAGCTGGCAGAGGCGCAAGATCTCTTGCAGAAGGCCCTGAAATCTGTCCGAGACACGCTCGGCAGCACCCACCCCAGGAGCCTCGACTGCATGTCCAACTTGGCGGCGGTTCTGAAGCAGCAGGGCCAGACCTCTGCGGCGGAAGCGCTATACCGCGAGGCCCTGCCCGCCTGTCGCGAGAAGCTCGGAGAGGAGCACGAGGCCACGATCGCCACCATGAACAACCTGGCAAATCTCTTGGGAAATAAGGGCTCCGCAAAGGAGAAACAGGAAGCGGAGCAGCTATTCAACCGGGCCTTGGCGATAAATCGCGCCACTCTGGGAGACACCCATCCCCACACCCTGAGCACCCTAAACAACATGGCGTCTATGTATACACAAAGCGGGGAGTTTCAAAAGGCTGAGCCGCTGGCCCGTGAGGCTGTGAAAGGCCAGCGTGCAACTCTGGGGGACATGAGCCTCAGCACCTTGTGCAGCATCCACAATTTGGCATGTATTTTGGATGGCCAGGGCAAGACTCAAGAGGCACAGAAGCTCATGCGCGAGGCGCTCATTGGCTACAGCAAGAAGTTGGGGGAGAACCATCCCCGGACTCGCAACGTGGCTGAGAAGCTTCAACGATTGGGATCAGGGCCGATGCAATCAGGGTCGATGCGTGCCGGAATAATGGGACAGGCGCGTGTGGATTCGCCAGACCTGTCCGAATTGATGGGCAGGCAGGTGGGATTCGGAGAGCCTATGATGGACCCACGAATCTTGCAGGCCCGGGTGCTTTGATTGTGCAACGCAGGCATTGTGCAACGCAGGCATTCTGTGATGGAATTTGCATGTTGCTTGTTTCCGCTGGGAAGGCTAGACTGAAGATGGAAGCGGCAAAGTGCACCAATTAAATGTTGCTGGCCTATGCTTTGGATCCTACTATTGCTAAGAGCAATCTCTTAGAATTGCTGTTATTGCTGCTGCCGCAACTGGATTTGGGATGTTCAGGGTATGAATCGTGCGTTTGCTTGAAAAAACGAAAAAAGGAAAATAAAACGACAACGTTTATTTGGTGTTCAGGTATTGCACCATGTTTGGACCACGCTGCAAGTATGCTTTCGCTGGGGCAGTTGCATTACAGAGCCATTGTCGCGGCCACCTCGGCCTTGTTGGAGCTGCCAAATCTGCACTTCCTGTACAACACTTGTACTGAAAAGTTGCAACTTTAGAGCTGCAGCTGCCAAAATGCACTAGACTTGTACTGAAAAGTTGTGACTTTCGAGCTGGAGCTGCCAAAATGCACTTCCTGTACTACACTTGTACTGAAAAGTTGCGACTTTCGAGCTGGAGCTGCCAAAGTGCACTTCCTGTACTGCACTTGCACTGAAAACTTTCGAGCTGCAGCTGCCAAAGTGAACTTCCCGTACTACACTTGTACTGAAAAGGTGCGACTTTCGAGCTGCAGCTGCCAAAGTGCACTTCCTGCACTATATCTTATCGAAAAATTGCAATTACACCTGTGATGAAAAGTTGCGATGTTCGATCTGGAGCTGCCAAAGTGTACTTCGCATACTACAGCTGTACTGAAAAGTTGCGATTCTCGAGCTGGAATTGCCAAATCGCGCTTAGCACACCTGTGCGGCAAAGCGCCGGCGTTTCAGTCGGAACTGACAGAGCATATTTTGCATACCACGTTTGAGGTTGTATAAAGCCCCCCTTCTTGCCGTTTAGTGTTCGGCGAGCCCTTGCATTGAGAAATTTTCACGAAACGATATAGTCTTAACAAAAGATAACGATCGTGAGAAGCACCCTCGGCTTGCTAAGTGGCAAAAAAGCCAGACTTGATACCCGAGAAACGGTAACAAAGCGACAACGCAAACGATAACGTGTTTTCATTATACTGGCTGAACAGCTGCAAGACCTGCCAAAGTGTACTTCACGCATTGCACCTGTACTCAAAAGTTGCGACTTTCGAGCTGGAGCTGCCAAAGTACTACACTTGTACTGAAAAAAGTTGCGACTTTCGATCTGAAGCTGCCAAAGTGCACTTCCTCTACTGCACTTGCATTGAAAAGATGCGACTTTCAAGCTGGAGCTCTCAAAGTGCGCATCCTGTCTTACATTTATACTGAAAAGTTGCAATTCTCGAGCTGAGCTGCCAAATTGCACTTCTTGTAGCGCACTTGTACTGAAAAGGTGCGACTTTCGAGCTGCAGCTACACTTGTATTGAAAAGTTGCAACTACACCTGTGCTGAAAAGTTGCGATGTTCGATCTGGAACTGCCAAAGTGTACTTCGCATAGCACAGCTGTACGGAAAAGTTGCGATTTTCCCGAGCTGGAGCTGCCAAATTGCTCTTCCTGTACTGCACTTGTATTGAAAAGTTGCGATTTTCGAGCTGGAGCTGCCAAAGTGCATTTCTTGTAGTGCACTTGTACTGGCAAGTTGCGATTTTCGACTTGGAGCAGCAAAAATGCACTTCCAGTGCTGCACGTGTACTGAAAAGTTGCGACTTGCGAGCTGGAGCTGCCAAAGTGCATTTCTTGTACTACACGTGTACCGAAAATCAACGATTTTCGAGCTGGAGCTTTTCCGTATTTCACCTGTACTGAAAAATTGTGATTTTCGAGCTGGAGCTGCCAAAGTGTACTTCGAATACTGCACTTGTACTGAAAAATAGGTTATCGTCCAAAACCCGTTTTAGGTCATAGCAAAAGGTAGACGGGTTTTTACACAACCCTAGTGCGGTCTATGCCACGTGGATCAAGCTGGGTTTGTTTGGTGTCCTCCGCAGCTGGGACGGAGCCATAGCTCGCAAAACCCTCGGTGGCATTTACATTACTAATGCACATTATTAGACAAAAAACCAAGCGTTCAAATCGTTCCTCATTGATTGGACCTGCGGCGAGCTTTCATTCTGTCTAATTTCCCCTTCCGCAGACCCTTCAGAATCCTTTGCTGAGTGAAACAAGACAGGGCTCGCAGCAAATGACCCGTGTAGAAAATTAGAAGGCAAGGCAGGCCGCAAGGGTTGTCTTGAACGTTGTACCGCCCATTTTTCAATCATGCGGAGATTTGGCACGAACGCAGGCTATGATGGGAGGTCAGCTCGCTGGTTTCTCTCCCTTTGGGGATGAGGCTGGAATGGATCCACGTATCATGCAGGCCATGATGGCGCAAGGAGGATTGGGCTTCTCAGACAGGGACGAGGAGGCAAGTCGCGAGCGCTCAAGGATCATGTCGCACATCTTCAATCCGAATTTCTGACGCGCAGGGTAGGTGACTTTGTAAAACCATGCCTTTGGTCAATACCAAGGCGTTGGACCCGGTTTGTTCCAGCGATCGGCTGTTAACTCGATGTTCTTCAAGTTCGTCGAACGAGGAATAGTAGGATCAGTTGCCAGCCAAGTGTGCTTTTGTTCGATTCACGGCATCAGCGTACGTCTATTACTAGAGGAGTCGACGACGGTGTCATAGCTGCTGATTGCGATAGAAGCTAGGTTGACTGCTTTTATTGCTGCTGCTGCAACTGGATTTGGGATGGTCCGGGTAACGCTTTTGTGCTGTGTTTGCAATGTGACTTGCCGCGGATTCACTCTTATGCGCTGTATCCATGTGCGGTCTATGCCACGTGGATCAAGCTGGGTTTGTTTGGCTTCCTTTTGCCGTTCTGAACGCATACGTTAGGCTGGTGTCCCATCATCCGCGGCTGGGACGGAGCCATAGCTTGCAAAACACTCGGTGGCATTTACATTACTAATGCACATTTTTGGACAAACACCAAAAGTTCAAATCGTTCCTCATTGATTGGACCTGCGGCGGGTTATTAGACAAAAACCAAGCGTTTAAATCGTTTTTCATTGATTGGACCTGCGGCGTGCTTTCATTCTGTCTAATTTCCCCTTCCGCAGACTCTTCAGAATCCTTTGTTGAGTGAAACAAGACAGGGCTTGCAGCAAATGCGCTGAAGAGAAGCCTTTCAATGACCCGTGTAGAAAATTAGCAGGCAAGGCAGGCTGCAAGGGTTGTCTTGAACGTTGTACCGCCCATTTTTCAAACATGCGGAGATTTGGCACGAACGCAGGCTATGATGGGAGGTCAGCTCGCTGGTTTCTCTCCCTTTGGGGATGAGGCTGGAATGGATCCACGTATCATGCAGGCCATGATGGCGCAAGGAGGATTGGGCTTCTCAGACAGGGACGAGGAGGCAAGTCGCGAGCGCTCAAGGATCATGTCGCACATCTTCAATCCGAATTTCTGACGCGCAGGGTAGGTGACTTTGTAAAACCATGCCTTTGGTCAATACCAAGGCGTTGGACCCGGTTTGGTCCAGCGATAGGCTGTTAACTCGATGTTCTTCAAGTTCGTCGAACGAGGAATAGTAGGATCAGTTGCCAGCCAAGTGTGCTTTTGTTCGATTCACGGCATCAGCGTACGTCTATTACTAGAGGAGTCGACGACGGTGTCATAGCTGCTGATTGCGATAGAAGCTAGGTTGACTGCTTTTATTGCTGCTGCTGCAACTGGATTTGGGATGGTCCGGGTAACGCTTTTGTGCTGTGTTTGCAATGTGACTTGCCGCGGGTTCACTCTTATGCGCTGTATCCATGTGCGGTCTATGCCACGTGGATCAAGCTGGGTTTGTTTGGCTTCCTTCTGCCGTTCTGAACGCATACGTTAGGCTGGTGTCCCATCATCCGCGGCTGGGACGGAGCCATAGCTTGCAAAACACTCGGTGGCATTTACATTACTAATGCACATTTTCAGACAAACACCAAAAGTTCAAATCGTTCCTCATTGATTGGACCTGCGGCGGGCTTTCATTCTGTCTAATTTCCCCTTCCGCACATTATTAGACAAAAACCAAGCGTTTAAATCGTTTTTCATTGATTGGACCTGCGGCGGGCTTTCATTCTGTCTAATTTCCCCTTCCGCAGACTCTTCAGAACCCTTTGTTGAGTGAAACAAGACAGGGCTTGCAGCAAATGCGCTGAAGAGAAGCGTTTCAATGACCCGTGTAGAAAATTAGCAGGCAAGGCAGGCTGCAAGGGTTGTCTTGAACGTTGTATCGCCCATTTTTCAAACATGCGGAGATTTGGCACGAACGCAGGCTATGATGGGAGGTCAGCTCGCTGGTTTCTCTCCCTTTGGGGATGAGGCTGGAATGGATCCACGTATCATGCAGGCCATGATGGCGCAAGGAGGATTGGGCTTCTCAGACAGGGACGAGGAGGCAAGTCGCGAGCGCTCAAGGATCATGTCGCACATCTTCAATCCGAATTTCTGACGCGCAGGGTAGGTGACTTTGTAAACCATGCCTTTGGTCAATACCAAGGCGTTGGACCCGGTTTGTTCCAGCGATAGGCTGTTAACTCGATGTTCTTCAAGTTCGTCGAACGAGGAATAGTAGGAGCAGTTGCCAGCCAAGTGTGCTTTTGTTCGATTCACGGCATCAGCGTACGTCTATTACTAGAGGAGTCGACGACGGTTTCATAGCTGCTGATTGCGATAGAAGCTAGGTTGACTGCTTTTATTGCTGCTGCTGCAACTGGATTTGGGATGGTCCGGGCAACGCTTTTGTGCTGTGTTTGCAATGTGACTTGCCGCGGGTTCACTCTTATGCGCTGTATCCATGTGCTGTTTATGCCACGTGGATCAAGCTGGGTTTGTTTGGCTTCCTTTTGCCGTTCTGAACGCATACGTTAGGCTGGTGTCCCATCATCCGCGGCTGGGACGGAGCCATAGCTTGCAAAACACTCGGTGGCATTTACATTACTAATGCACATTTTTAGACAAACACCAAACGTTCAAATCGTTCCTCATTGATTGGACCTGCGGCGGGCTTTCATTCTGTTTAATTTCTCCTTCCTCAGACCCTTCAGAAATATAATATTGAGGAATTTGGAAATGAATAATTATAATTTCTATAAATGATCGAACTTATTTTAGGATATATATATATATTGAATATAAATTTTAGATATTTATTTATAATAGTTTGATTTGGATCATAAAATAATGTTTTCTATCACTTACAAACAAACCAAACAAACAAAATATTGGATCTCATGGAATTTTATTCGTTAATTATTTATAGAGAAATCTATTTATTAAGGATTCATTCTTTTTTGATTATTATTTCCACTTTTAGTTTTGAATTTTGAATATATGATATAATTAAGAAGACCTGGAAAATGAGAAAATTAGGTTATAAGGAAATATTTCTAAGAAGAAGATAAATAAGAAAAGCTATTATTTTATTTATTTTGGGTATTTAATATTATATGTTTTTATAATTTGAATAAAAATAAATTAATGAAAAAATAAGTTTGATTGTGTATACATTTCTCTTATTAATATTTATTGTTTAATGTTATATTTGGTAAAATCTTGGCATTAAACCTTATTGTTTATTTTGGAAGGATATAATTATAGACTTATTATATTACTAGCAGGGGCACGCTGCTTTCCAGCAGCGTGCGAGATGAAACCCATGGCAGGAGAGTAATAGAATTAGAGTATGAATTATAAATATATTCTAGTTTATGGTCGTAAACAAATATGTATGGGCAAGTCATTCCTAACATATAAAAAAGGGATTTATGGAGTGGCAAAAAAAAGCATGGGATCTAGTAAAACTCGTGAGTTTAAATAAAACTGCCACTTTTTGAGGTCCGTCACAATTATAATCCTAACACCCGACATAAGGGGTTCCCAAACAAGGGGATTTTCATGGTGGGCTCGTTTAAATCCCTAAAGCCCAGTGGCCATGAGAAAAAGGACATGTTTGTTTAGTTGGTTGATTTTAATAGGGGCTTCACCTTTCGTAACAAATTGATACGGGGAATCCCTCAATTTGAGCGCTAAGTACCCCATGCTCATCACGAAATCCGTAGACTGCTTGCTGAGAATACGCTGGCCCTCAGGTAACAAAATGGCTGGACTTTGAAACCTTTCTACGCTCTTAAGCTAAGCACGCCGCGCCGGCTGCATGCATGCCACCAAATGTAACCAGGAGCAGGAACTTCGCCAAGAACGTCTCTTCAAACACCCCACAACCGTGCTACTTCCAGTTGCCTAACGACCTTGGTAGAAAACGGGTACCTGTGTTAGAGATGACCCCCAGGAATTTGAAAAGGGGAAAAAGGTGGCACTAACCAACAACTTGGCTGCTATCAGGGCGCGTAACTATCTATCGTACCAAGCCGTATCGCCAGCAATTGTGGCGCTTGCACTGCAGCCTACTGGAAGGAAAGCGGCTTGAAATACATTTGCATGACGCTAAAGATTTGTAGCCGGAACATCCTCAATCAATTACGCCCAAACACTCCTTATGCCAATCTTGTTTGCAGCCTCTCTCTGGCCAAGGCTGACTCCGTGTCTCAAAATTCCACTTGAGATCGCGACAGGCCGCCTTCCAAGCTGGACAGGCCTGGCCGTCATCAATGTGCCTTCTCGACTCACCAACATTCCAGTTAGTGTTCACCGAAAGGATTAAAACATACAATCCAGTGGTTTATGCATGTTAGAAAAGGCCTATGTTCTTCCCATATTGGAAAGCCTCCGCTCCTGTCCTCAAATCATTTTGCCCACAAATTCATGGAACCCACAAAAAAAAACGATTTTAACAGCGAACTCCTTCTCGGGGTCGTTATTGGGTTCTTTCTCTCGCCCCGGTTCCGCTTTGGACCTCCGCCGGCTGACGCCCAGCGGTTGCGCTTGCCTGGCATAGCCATGGAATTGGACATAAATATAGGGACCCAAAAATTGATGTGTGTTTTTTCGTGGCGTCCCTTTAAGCCAAAGGTCAAAAGGGTAAAAACAAAAAAAGGCGGCACTCTATAGAGTGACATGGGATCAAGAAGGCCTTCCCGTGGGCGCTTTGTGCCCGCCTTTCACCGGATCCACTCGTGCCAGGCGGAAGCTTCGCCCGTTCCTGCCCCAGAAACGGGACCTGGTGTGCTTTGGACACAGAAAACGTGCCCCTTTCTCTGTTAGCAACATGGGTTGGGTTCCCTGAACTACTTTTTTGGGAAAAGAACGCAACACAAATTCACCGCAAGAAAATCACTCTAAATTGGCTCAAAAGGTGATGCCAAAGGGATTTGCGGTATAGAGCTAAGGGCTTAGGATGTCTTAGTTCTTGTTTGTATATTGATGATAAGCATTTGAACATTGGTTGACGTAGTGCTTGCAAGTAAGTTAATGTGACAATTGTTTATGAGTTTAGAATATATGACTAAGGGTTTCAGAAATAGCTTCGTTCAAAGCCTAGATTATTTTTCCGAAATATCCCGGATATTTCGACGATTGTACTCCGGACCATTTTTCCGAAATATTCTCGAATATTTCGACGATGGTATTTCCCGAAAAATTTGGAATATTTCGGGAAAACGGTTTCGTATATTTCGAGAAAATGGCGGGCGGTTGCGATTTTCGGATTACTTTCCCGAAATATTTCAAATATTTTGGGAAATTGATCCCTACAAAAAATGAAACCATTATATTTTCCGTATATGTGCCGGGGTAGTGTGGATAGATTTGGAAAATAGTCCGTAAGAAATATAAAACGATTATATGTTTTTCTAGGGATAATTCGTACTAATTTCCCGAAACATCCGGGATTTTTCAGGAAAAAGCGGTCCGGGAAAATACGTAGAAGTTCGACGATCGAGTTTCACGGTTTTGTTTTGTAGGTAAAAATAAGTTAATTATATATTGTTTTTTTTTAATTTTATTATTAGTTTTATATTTTAATATGATTTTTTATTGAATTTAATTTGGAATTTATATTGATATAATTTGATGTTGGATAATTGAATATTGTTTAGGGTGTAACTGTTGAATAAATTAATTATAATTTAATGGGTAAATGTATTTTTAGTTTATTTATTTGTTAAATATTGGGATTGATTAATATTTGATTTAGAAAATTTATGGTAAATTGATTTAGATTATTTATTTTATAGATTATTATTTTATATTATATTTATTTATTATATTTATTTTTTTTTAAAAAATATATAGTTTTATTGGTTTTATATATTTTTATTAATATAAATTAATTATTTATATATAGAATAATATATATTTAATAATAACTATATAATATTATATTTTATTATTGATATAATATAATTTGGATTTTTTGATATAGATATATTAATGGGGGCTTGTTATTATTTAGTAGTGTAAAAAATGAAATATAAATATATAAAAAATAATATTATTAAATTATAAAATTAATAATATTATAATTGAAAACTAATTATATTAAAAAAAATAATAATTTAAGTAAATATTTAATGAAAGGTGATTTTGGAATATTTGAAAATATATAAATTATTGAATTATTGAAAGAAATTAAAGGTTTTATATTTATGAATAATTTTATTTTGGGGAATGGATATTTGATTATTATTTTTTTTTGAAAATATATATTTTTATAATGATATTGTTGTAAGCCTCGTAGTTTCGAACGATAATTAAAATGAATTATGATTTTTTTTTTAGATTTTATTAAGATAAAAGATTTCGAAAGATTATATAAGTGTGTTTTAGGCGTTCGATACTAGTGTATAGATATATAGTTAGTGAAAAGTGGTCGTTTAAATAAAGTTATTAGTTTGAAAATAATCTTTTTATATATATAATTAATGCAAATATAGACGAAAATACGATTAATAAGAATATATGGGTTTAAGTAAACCCGAATTAATTTCGCTCAAACCATTCGAAGAAATGCCTTTAGTTATAACAATCGATCACGGCTTAGAATTTCTCATATCGCCAAATTCTCGTAAAACAGACATAATATTTTAACTAAAATGACTACGAAATATTTAAATAGACTCTTTTTCTAATCTCCTAGAAAATGTCTTGGTATATTCGTTCTACAGCAGGCCATGCTAATGCGGCTTCGATTAATCTAAGGGCCATGCGCTTGAATCTCTCGAGTTGGGCCGAAATTGGCCAACTTCGTTTTATTCTTAATTTAATATTCGTTTTTAGGACTTAACCAAAAAGGAACCTCGAAAGGCAGGGCTTCGTTTCTAATTTTGAAACAAATCGCTTCACTCCTCTGGAAAATTGTTTCTTATTCTTCCATAAATCTTTAAGCCAAAATAAGCCCATACAACGCATTCGAATCTTGTTTTCGGGCATTATGCATACCTAAACGCGATATCTTCCAGCTTCTATTAGAATTATCGGTAATATAAGGAATGGATTCTGAATTTCATGAATTTATAGAGGTTGGTCCGCGCAATATTAGTTAGATTTTATGAATTTAGATCGTGTAATATTAGTTTGCCCCCAAATATTGGTTTAGATTAATAATGTGGATCGATATTTTGGAGATTAATAAATGATTTCATATTAATTAATTTCAATATAATCCAGGGGTTTGATTCCCAAATCTCTAATCTAAAATCACAAAAAAGATATTAAAAATATAAAATAATTATAAAAAAATATATCAATATAGTTTAACCTAATAAAAAGAATTCATAAATCGAATTTATTATAATATAAACACCAATATATTTTACTAGCTTATATATATCAAAAATCATATTATTCTGCAAACACAAAAACGAATTCATAGGTTATTAATCTCAAGCAAATCCATCTATATATATAAATATATTAAAACCAATCCTCAAATCGAATTTTAAATAATTTAAACACCAATAAATTTATATATATGTTTTATATATAAAACATATATTATTTTCCAAATATAACATATATAAATAATTATTAAT